GATCGATATCGAGAAACATTAGAGCAATTCGCTTGTATTTTTAATTTAATTACCTCAAAATTATTACAGTTGAATTTAGTAGTATATTTTCTGATTGTACTGAGAATAATTAAATACAAATATGAAACAATTTTAACAAAATTCTTAAAACTATTCATTAAATAATCGTTGTGTAGCTCAAGTTTATAGCCACCTAGCGGCCGAAAGTCCGACTCTATGAGTTACGAAATATCCAGACGTATTACAGTAATTTGTAGAAAAATATGTAATAAAAATTGCGCTTATATATATTATGCAAAGCACTCGAAAATTGTCACTATCGAAAAATATTCCAAAAACATATATTTTAATTTATATGAATTTAATTTTGAATTGCCAAAATCATTACTGTTGAAGTTAATAGTAATTTCCTGGCAGTCACAGGCATCAATTTGATTCTAAATGTGAACCTCCGTCAATACAAAATACATTTTTAATTATTAATATAAATTAAATCAAATTCAATTTATACAAATCAAATAATCGCTATAAAACACGAGTTAGATTCGCGTATGCTTCTACTCTTTTTTTTTTTTAATCTCTTTCATCTCTATCACTTTTATACGAAAGAATATTATGCGCGATTAATTAAAATAACGGTGTCGATAGGTAATGACAGCCGTTTGCTCGTGGAAGATTATTTTTACATGGTGTACGACCTGTTTCGATCCGGACGCACCGTGAAGTGTGTAGAAACGACAATTCTTCGAAAGCCTTGAATATATTTACCCATGGACCAGGTCACTGTCTCAATACTCCCGCCATTCAACTAGAAATTCTCAACCTGTGGGAATGTTCAGGTAGGCATGAAGAAGAAGCCGACTGAAGTGCAACGTTTCTCTAAGATTCTTTAAGAACACGGATTTTCGAACGATGCCTCGCCAACAATATCCAACAAAGTGCTCGTTGATCTCAAAAGACGGACAAATGAACCTGAAATTCCGACAGGTTCCCAGGAAATTTAGCGCTACAGACGAATCTAGCAATAGCGATCGCGATTGAGCGATAATCGATCGCGAAATTTCTTTTTTCAGCGGATTGATCGATGTTAATAGTTATTTGTGTAACAAGTGCTGTAAGATGAAAAAAGGCGAGTGCGGTCACCGCACCCGGGAATTTTCATCTTCACGCACGACTTGCACACCCTATTTTAGGTTGCAAGTGCGTGGAAAGTGGTATATCACGCACGCGTAGCGTGCGTAATGAACCACTTTCCATGCACGTGTTGCATAAAAAAAATATACGCGTCGTTGTTCTCGAAGAGGGAAAAATCGTAAAACCCGAACGCCACGTAATATGTACATGTGTGAAATACAGTGATTCGCCGTATCCGCGCGCGAGAACGAGCAAACGACGATGATAACAAATAAAAGGAGAAAACGGCGAAGGAAGTAAGTGGAGGAGAGGAGCAGAACGAGAGGCGGTCACCGCGAAATGACGGCGATCTCCGATGTCACACAGAGGACCGCCGGCGTCCCCTCGAGGATGAGGAGGAAGAGAACTCCGGTCGGCTCGTGTTTCGGTTTTCGGCATTCCGAGAAATATTTTCATGTGCCCTCCGCGAGAGCGGGATCTCTCCCTGCGTTCCCTCTTTCCTACTTCTTTCTCCGCGTCGATCTCTCTCTCCCTCTCGATCCTCTTTGCGCACCCATACTGTTCTGTTCGACGCAGGTTCGGCGGGCTGCGTTTTCGGGGGTGCGATCCACCACCGTCCGTGAGACCCCGAAGGGATAACCGGAGGATATCCAATGACCAAGAATCCCCGACGCGGTAGGTTCGACCGGATGAGGAATATACTGTTCGCGCTTGCCGGCCATGGATTACGAGTGCTTTTAAGTGGTGTGCTTTTAAGCGTATTGTTAGATTTATCGCCGTGAAATCGCATTGGAAGGAGAGGAGGAACGAATCTGGAAAATGGGAAAGCGAATGCACGAAAAGACAAGAATGGGTGGAGCTTGTGAACAAAAAAGTCCGGTGTTTATGGAATATTTTTAAGGGAAAATCAAATATATTTAAAAATATATGTTTGATTTTTCCAAGAATGTTATTAGATTTTCTCAATCTTACACGCTGCATTAAAGTCGAGCGAGCTTCAATCGCTAATTCTCTTTAAATTTCTCGTTCAATTCAACTCTTAATGTTTAGCGGAACTTTTTAATCCGAAGGACATAAGTGCAAAAGTCACTTGTTCAGATAACATTTGCAAGTACACAAAATATAGATCCTCTCTTTAGCGAGACGAATGTCGTGAAATTTAGCTACATTTCTCCTTTCAAGAATTTGGAAATCTATCAGACGCCAAAATCATCAAAGAAAAATGCGCGATTAAATGATAGCACATCTCAGGAGCCGCTTCTAGATATAATCAGAAGATCGAGTTAATTCGCACGCAAATTCTAGAAGAACGCGTTCGAGACGTATGAAGAGACGAGCGTTCGTGCGAGCGTATTCTTCTAATTCCGCGAAGGCTGGTTGCGACGTTTCCGGGCACAATGCCTTGCCGAGGCACAAAGCTCGGTTCTGAACGCGATCAAGCGACCCGAGTCGATCTATTTGAGCGACTTCGCACCTCACTGAATAACCCTCGCCCGTAGAGATCCACGTATACGGCGCCGAATTGAATCCCGTTCCGCGAAACGTACCGCAGACGCTTTCATGCGATGGAGGCCGTTTCTTCCGTTGTTCGGTCAAACGCCCGCGTTGCGTCCGCGGAATAAATTATTAAACCTATATAATTATATTAATTACTATAGTATGATTAGATTTAATATTAATCAAGAAATACGGTAGTGTTTCTCTCATGCCAACTGTACGCGCGACGCAAGGTACAGGCGCTATACTTAGCGCCCAATTATAGTTGATATATCGCAGGCAAGATTTATCGTTCAGCTATAATGGCTGAAACAATGCGTTTCTGAGTGACTTTAATCGATTTATTGGTTTCATATTATATAACAAATTCGTTTTTACTTTTGCTCCATAGTCTTCTATGCTGAGATATTCCATCTCAAAATACATAATTGCCAAATTTTACAATTAAAAAATGGAAAAATTTTTCTAGCTGACATTTTTTCCGTTAGAAGACGCCACGAGACGGGACAGCCCGTCGACGTAGCACTGTAGCAGCGCCGCTGCATGCACGAAGCTCAATCTGACATTCGACATCTGACATGCTCGCGAGAGAGTTGTGATTACGTTTATTGCTTATTTTACTACTTATTGTTAGTCTGAATAAAAATACCAGTACCTTATATCAGACCTATATTATATTATAATATACATACATCCCAAAGTACTAAAAACAAGCAAATTTATTTTATAATTATAAAGAAATTTATATAATTTGATTGTAATTATGTAATTTGCTAAAAAATGTATGCAATAGATATAAAAATTTATCACTCACCGACCCTGACGCGCAACAGCGGAATTATATCTGCCACGTAGCTACGTTGATTCTGTAACAAACAAATATACAATTTATATTAAAACAATGTTCAAAAAATCTAATATCTTAAAACATAATTCTCATGCGCATTAAATTCATTATTTAATTAGGTATTTGCTTAAATAATTATATATTTTCGGAAAATGATTTTTACAAGAATCAATTTTTATAAAATACTTTTCTTTTAACTTACTATTATTTCTAAATCATGGTAAAACAAATAGGTTCAAGAACAAACAAAAAAATTACTTTTACACAAAAATGAAAATGATTGTATTAACGGTGATAATCGGTATTAATGAGTGGACATAGGAAAATAAGAATTGTATTACTTACACGAGCATATTCTAAAAACATAGAATGCAGTGCTTAGTACAATAGACATATTAGTGCGTCCATTATAGCATTTGTTATTGATTCTTTCAAAGAATTCGGTATAACAGCGTCCGCTAGCTCTAATGGCACGATACTGCTCAATAATAATCTCATAATAATGGTAGTAAGATACAAGTACGTTATCCTCAAGTGATCTACAGCTTCCAAAATATTCCATCACCTCCCCCATTAAATTGAATAACGCCTTTAAGTCATCGATTATCTTTAATGTCATACCATCGTTGCAGAGCCATCCAATGTTATTGCGCTTATAAGGCTGATCTATTTAAACAAGAGTGCAAACATGTCGCAGTTGTGTGTATTTATGTCAATGAAGAATGTACCGTACTACATCCACAACACTGACCAGCTACTAATATAGAATAAATCTTATATAGTGATTATATACTTCCAATCCGCAAAATACAAAGAACAAGCGTGCACCACAAACAGTTCAGTTTTACAAAGAATAGATGCTTATTCTCACAAATGCTGCTCAGTAGTAGATGAAATTAAACACGTACAAAAAGAAATTCTGTCGCTATAAAGTATCCATTTGCGAAATATTTACAAACTTAAAAATTAGCTCAATCGGAAAGAGCTTTTCACAAGCAAGAAAAAGAATTGCGTTTTGTATGTAAAGAATTATAAAAATTCCAAACTAGTGATACATATCACAGTTACGAATGACTCACAAGACAAAAGATTTAAAATAATTTTAAAAAGAATTTAGTATAATACCTATCCTGTGAAGAGCTTCAAAACTCGTATAAAAATATTCAAGTGACGAAAAACGAATGGGTTCAAATTTGTATAAAGTCGGAAAGTCAATCGGGATGTTTTCAATGATTTAAGCCAAAAGTCTCTAAACGAATAAGGTGTTAATTAAAACGCAGAAATAAAATTTTAAAGAATTTGCCAATTCAATTTAAAATTAATTTCAGTTTGTTAGAAATAGGTTTGGATTTGGATAGATATTTTGGGGGTATGGAAGTGTAGAGGGAAGAGAGGCCCTTTTCCGCCTACTTCTAAATTTTTTAAACTATATGTAGATATACAAGAATTATTTCAAAACTCGTATTTATTTCAAATTTTGCGCACTTTTACATCAATGCGTACGCTTTCTCTGATGCTCATGTATGCACCTTATCGATATAACATTTCTTAACCCGAAAATTGTCACTTTTAGTACTTTATAACTTTTGCTCTACTTGAGAGCAACGATTTTAGCTTTTACATTCGAATTCAACACGCCGAAATACATATATTGTTAAATTTCAGACAAATCGGTAAGGAAGCCACTTTCCTTCACATTCATCAACCTTCATATTCCTCATCATCCTATTTGATTCCCTTTTGATATTCAAGGACAGACACGTGTGGATATTTTTCCTTCGCCTGAGCAACGAATGATGTCTGACTATCACGTGTGTCGTCGAACGCGTTCCCGGCGCGCATAACATAGATTGTTTGCAGTTTAGGAAACTGTTCGAGAATTGCGAAATTAGACGTATAACCCAAGTATATTTGTCTTAAGTTTTTACACATTGTCAGTTCTTCATAGACATCGTAATTGAAAATCATATCGGAATTTCCCAAATTGACTTCTTCTAAGCATTGACAGGAGAAAAACAATCTACGCAAACTATGCTTATCGATTGTGGAGAGATCTTCGGGGTGCATGTCATTCCTGTAACAAAAGTCATATTATTATGCGGTTTTTCAATCGCAATAAGAAAAACAACATAACAGTTTCATGATGTTTGCAAGAAATGTAAATACACATTTTGATAAAGAATAATATGTGTTTTAAAAGAAAATGTAGCACACACGTACTTGTCCATCATTGTCAGTTTTCGTAAATTCTTGCATTCAGCGAGGGCATGAATACCTCGCGATGTAATAATACTGCAACCCGATAAATTTATTATTTCCAAGTCTGGACACGAATTTTTTAACTGTATTGTAATTGCGTCTAAATCTAGTAATCCGACGTCATCAATAAAGCCAGGCATGTGCACATTTAAGTTACGCATCCGGCGAGTTTTTTGCAGTATTTTGCAAAGAGATTCAGTTGTTATAAGGGAGCCTTCAAGGTCTAATTTCTCTAGAAATTCTAAATTTTCGACACTCGAAACTTCTTGGTCCATTCCCTCCAGAATAACACAATAACTGAGATCCAATACTAAAAAAAAAAATGTACATATATTAGTCATATACAGTTTATCTGTAATCTTAACAATCATATTTATTACCTTTCAAATTTTTGCATATTTCTAAAATTTTTAATAGACATAATTCGTCAACAAATTCGCAGTCTTTTAATCGTAAGTGCGTTAAACAATCGCCGCAACTTTGAAGAAAGTTTACGAAATCCGTAGCAGAAATGCAGCTTCTTGTAAGATCCAACTGTTGTAAATATTTACATTTGGATGCAAAATAAAACAGAATTTTATCATAACAGAAGGATGAATCCTTAGAGTATTCTTTTTTTAAATTTCGTAAGTTCAAACATTTAAAGAGAAAATTTTTCGATTTTTTGCATATCTCTAAAATGTTTAATAGAGATAATTCGTCAACAAATCTGCAGCTACTTAATCGTAAGTGCGTTAAACAATCGCTGCAACTTTGAAGAAAGTTTACGAAATTTGGAACAGAAATGCAGCTTTCTGTAAAATCCAACTGTTGTAAATATTTACATTTGGATGCAAAATAAAACAGAATTTTATTATAACAAAAGAATGAATCCTTATAGTATACTTTTTTTAAATTTCGTAAGTTCAAACATTTGAAGAAAAAAGAATCCTGTGTTAAATTATTGAGGCGTTTATTTACTTTGCTCATACGGCAAAACGACCTTATATCCAAGTATTTTAATATCATTAGTATTATTTCATCCTGCAAAAACAAAATATAAAATTTTAATACATGAGATTATATTATAATAAACTATTACGAAAAATGAACTTCGAATATTTTACAGAAAGCGTAGAAAAACTGTCACGTTGCTCCTTGGATTCTCCCGAAGAGAGTTTGATATCTTCTATAAATTTCACATAATTCCAATGATTTCTTAATAAAGGGTGATTCACATATCCCTGCTTAGAAGATGGCACATCTTCCTTCCGAAATACTTGTTTGTGCGCGAGCTTGCTCTTGTGAAAATTCGTTGCTATGTCGCTGCAAATAACATTGGAACACAAATTTATTTTTATTATTAACACTACGCTGACAACGTGTTTTTAAAAGCGTTTCTATGTAACAAAAAATCTATAAAAATTCATTGTGTCATTTTTAAAATTTCAAAAAGTGATTTCTACAGAGGCCGGAATTATTGCAATTTCTTTTTACTGTAAAATGCGAATTTTGATAAATAATAGCATATTTTTTGAATGTGTGACTAAAAAAAATTATTCAAGGGTTTTATAGTTCAACAATGGTACTTGAAAGAAAAATACACGAAGAGAACCTAAAAGAAGTTGAATTATTAAAGGACTTAAAAATTGGTATTTAATTTCGGTATACAGGAAAAATGAGATTCAAAGACAAAAGCAATGCTATTTTTTTTTAAGGTTACTTCTTATTTATTATTTATAAGTATAGGATCAATATTGAAAAAAAAAACACGTAAAATGCAAAATTACTTTTCCGTGGACAAAATTAACGAGATAGAGCCAGTGATGCTAGACGGCACGCGAAATAGCATGCTACAGCATATAAAGGGCATGGCTTTGCAAGGCACAGAAGGGATCCTTCATTAAAGGATCCCTAAGGCATAGTAGAGTCCCTTTAATAAGAGTCGCGACATCTCTCTCTTATATCTCTTTCTCTTTCTGTTTCACGTACTTTTGCCGAAAATGCGAACCAATCAAAAGTTGCTGCTACGTACGTGTCGCGACTCTTATTAGAAGGACTCGAAGGGCCTAAAGCAGAATGGCTGTCTTAATGACCTTAAGGCATATATAAAACACTGCCAAGACAGCCATTCTGCTTAGGCCCTATTAAGGCACGGAGCAAGCTCCTCCATCCGTGTAGCCGACACGCCGAGCGTAACATGCGCTGTTCCGTCTGCCGTTTAACATCCGAGGTGGACACCCTGGGTCTTTGAAGGCACACACTACACTTCGATTGCTCGGTATCGCGCAACGAACTGTCGAACAGTTCGCTTGGCAGTTACATGCCCACTATAACCAAGTTTTTTTGTGGAGGAGAGCCAACGTAAGCGCTGAAGCTATTCCCGTGGGAATCATAAATGAAAAATCAACTGTGCCTTAAAAGTCCCACAGTGTCCGCGCAGTGTTAAGAAAATAATATAAAATTACTTAATGTCGACAATTATAATACCTTTTATAAATAACGCAATATTTAAAAAATTCCTTTTGAAGATCAAGTATATCCAAGTGTGCATTTTCATAATCACGTGTTGTATTATAACGGTCAAACAATTTACAGGAACCCCAAAGGTATTGGTACATAGAAAATGGTTCTTCTTCAATTCCTGAGAATTCTTCAGAATAACGAAAAGGACAAAATCTCTCTGAACAAGAATGTCGTTGTGCCCGAATGCGGTGTAAGAGATTAGTTATACTCTTATCTTCAGGATTTTTAGGAAAAATCAATTTTGTTGTACCGATCAGCATCACAGCATCTAGCTGTGTGCATGAGTTGGATATAAACTGTAGTCTGAGCATTTTGGTTTTAAAGTTACAAGACCGTAAAGCTGGAGAAAATATCCGTGATTCCGAACGTCTAGGTTTAAAAGAAATTGGTTGACAAAATTCGTAGAATTGAGGCGGTCCATCCCATAATAAAATCCACCGACCCTCATCTTCAGAATCTTGAGCCCAAACTTCAGTTACGTTTCCAAAATTATATACTTCATATATAGAGATTCTGATTGGATATACAGCTTCATGAAACTCGAGATCTTCAAAATAAAAATTACAATCTTTTCTGAACACAAACATTTTCCTTAACAATATCTTATTTTTCAATTCAAATGTCACTTACCAATATGATGAAAATAATAATCTCTTTTAAACTCTGGTACAAAATTATATGGCACTTGTTTCTGCCATGGAGATATTGAAATATCAACATCATACTTCTTCTGTATTAAAGAGTAAAAAAAGTACTGAATATTACCAAATGTTGTAGCATAAATTAGATTTTGCGATTATATACTTTCTACAGAACAGAAAATACACATACCAAAAGAAAATCTTCATGGCTTGGAAAATTGCTAGGTGTTCCAATTATATTATTACGAATATTACTTATGCTAGCAGTATTCTTACAGTCCTTTGTGGATATATTGCTATCCTTCACAAATTGATAGATGAAATCAACATAATCCTCTTCTACCGCTACTCTGTCAGTATAAGGATATTTGACATCATTCTCGCAATGTGAGGAATGATAATTGGATGTCATATTCTTTCTCTTAAAAAAGATGGAAAATATAATTATAATAGTCTAAGAGCTGACGGACACTTTTGGCCAAGTAATTTTCTAAAATACGATTTTCCGTTTTAACTAGCGTGGACGACTCTCCTTCGATAATCCGAACACCTGGCTGGCCGTTCCTGGGGGGGGGGGGGATAAAAGTACGCAGGTGAGAAAAAAAACAGATCTCCCAGTCATAGTATAAGTCTCAATTTTAATCGGATATTGATAATTAGTCACTCATGAACATGCAAATAAATTGCCAGCTTGATTGCTCGGGGGAATTAGTCGCCAGGCTTAATCATAAATAATTAAAAATAATTATTTTCAAGTCATACTATAAAAGCTGGGTTTTTTTTAGTAACAAGTGTAGTGCTAACACATGCCACCAAAAAAAAGCCAAATTAAAATTTTGGTGGCATCATCTCTAAAAAAATTATTGAAAATGCACAAAGCCGGCGCGCGGCGTAGTGTGTGAAAATAAAAAAAATGGCTTTGCTGACGCAGCGTTGCGTTGCGTTGCGTTGCGGCCATCGTCAGAGCCCTCCGGCGGCTTTGTGCATTTTCAATAATTTTTTTAGAGATGTTGCCACCAAAATTTTCATTTGGCTTTTTTTGGGTGGTATGTGTTAGCACTATACTTGTTAGTAAAAAAAACCCAGCTTTTATAGTATGACTTGAAAATAATTATTTTTAATTATTTATAATTAAACCTGGCGACTAATTCCCCCGAGCAATCGAACTGGCAATTTATTTGCATGTTCCTGAGTGATCAATTATCAATATCCGATAAAAATTAAGACTTATATACTATTACTTAAAAATCCGTTTTTTTTTTCTCACCTGCCTACTTTTAATTCTTTTAAACCCCCCCAGGTACGGCCAGCCAGGTTTTGGATTATCGAAGGAGAGTCGTCCACGCAGGTTAAAACGGAAAATCGTATTTTACAAAATAACGGCCAAAAGTGTCGTCAGCTCTCCGACTATTTAAAGTAATATTAGTATAATAAAATGTAATAATGTAATAAATCTTTGTGCTTTGTTAGCATATATGTCAAAATGCTATATTATAATATCATATATTTATTAAAATTATACTGCCAAGTATATCTATACTTACTTGTAAGAGAGTTTATTTCCTTGCTTCCACGTGTTGAAGCGGCGAAGGGAGCGTGCGTCCCGTCCAGAGAGAAGGATGAGAGTGGTCATGCCCGCTCTCATCCGTTTAAACGGTCACCCCGTGGTGACCGTCCATGAGCGCCTCTATATGCACATGTGCGCACGTGCGCATATAGTGGCGCTCATGGACGGAAACCACCCCGGACCGTTTCACAGTCTTCTATGCTTTAGTTTATAATAAATTTTTATGTTTATTTCTACCAATGTACGTTACGATTTAACTTATTTTTTATCTTGTTCTACTTTTCATTTTTTCAGAACTAAGAAAAAATAAAAAGTAAGTTAAACCGAGATTAATAGCGAATTCGGGCGCTTGCACTAGTGCACACTGAGTGCGTACTAAGGCTTGTTCTTAATCAATTGTTATATTTACAGGTCATTTTAAATACTTCTTAGTCTATAAAATGATTTGTACAGCATCCATATAGCTAGATATTACAGATTGTTTTATTGACTAACAAGTTTTTAAATGTGTATTTAAGCGACTTGAAATATAAAAATAGATTATAAACAAAGCCTTTAGTGCGCACTCAGTGTGCACCAGTGCAAGCGCCCGAATTCGCTATAAAGTTAATCTACCTACGTTGCTAGAAATTGAATATTTGTTCATTCGGCGACTTATTATTCGAGAATCGCAAATCGAGATGAATCGATATCGCGGCACGACACCATGATTGGCTGACGCGCACGGTTGGCAAACGTTCACGCACTACGCAGCCGAACCGAACTACGTCACTCCGTACTCCGTTTGCGTTTGTATCTTTCGACCTAACCTTAAAGAGCTGCGGCTTTGCTGTCCACAAATTATTTGAAAGATATAAATTTCAAAGCCTAATCGCGCACCTAGAGGACTAGAGCCGCAAGATGTCGGAGCGCAAAGTTTTGAACGTAAGTACGAGACGAGAAATTGCTTTTCGCAATTGCATTTATCCACATTTATCCACTCTTTAATAACCTTCATCTCTTATCTCCTCGTATTCCAGAAATACTATCCACCGGATTTCGATCCGTCGAAGATCCCGCGCATGAAACTGGCGAGAAATCGCCAGTACACCGTGCGACTGATGGCACCGTTCAACATGCGTTGCAAGACATGCGGTGAATATATCTACAAGGGCAAGAAATTTAATGCGCGTAAGGAGGACGTCGAGGGCGACGATTATCTGGGGATACGCATTTACAGGTTCTACATTAAGTGCACCCGCTGCCTGCAAGAGATATCTTTCAAGACCGATCCGAAGAATACGGATTACGAGATAGAGGCAGGCGCCACGAGAAATTTTATGGCGTTGAAACTAGCTGAGGAACAGGCGCAAAGGGAGGAGGACGAGGAGAAAGAGGAAGAGGCCACCAATCCGATGAAACTCCTGGAAAAGAGAACGCTCCAATCGAAGCAAGAGCTGGAGTTGTTGGAATCTTTGGAGGAGTTGAAGGATTTAAATCGAAGGCAGCAGACCATAGATTATGATCAAATGTTGGAACAATACGACACCGCAGCTGCTAAACAGAGGACAGAAAAGGAACAAGAAGAATTGGATGAACGGTATATTAAATCTGTATTTGGCAAGAGACAATTAACCGGGACTGTTGTGGAAGAAGAAGTTGAGGACCTGGAAGAAGAAGAAGAAAAAGTTCAACCTCCTACAAAAATACTTAAAACAGATGAAGCAAACGACAAAGAAACAGTAAGGTCTTAATCTTGCATTTAATGAATTTTACTTATTGTTTGTTGCAGGAAAAATTTAATCAAAAACATGAAAACTAATGATAATTATTGCTTACTTGCAGGAAAATTCTGGACATTCTTTAAAACTTGCCAAAGCATCATTATGGTCGGAAAATACGGGATTATTATCTAATAAAAAGAATTCGTCCGCTTTGGTCAAGAAAGGTAATATTGGTATAAAGATAAACGCAAGGTCGTCACAAAATAAAACCTCCATGATCGAAAATGCTATTTCTCCCGACAAGAAAACAGTTTTACAGTTAGACCAAACACCTAACACTTCGACGAGTACATCGAATACAGTAAATATAGACACTAAGTCAGATAATGTCGGCAATGGTCTCTCGTTATTAGGTGCTTATTCAGGTAGCAGCGATAACGATAGCGAATAAAGGAATAAATAAATTAATATATTTTTTATGTTATATATTTTTATTCAATAGAATAAATATTGTACAAAATAAACGGGGTCTACAAAAACGCGCTCGTATAAACACGTTATTTGTCTCAAAATATGTGATATGTATATCACGTAAAATTTTAGACTTATTTTAGGTATGTATACACACGCGAATTATAGATATCTGACATGCACATGTAAATAATTTCTTGTTAAATCCAATATAGTCGCAGGTTGATACTTTATAGGCTGTGCCGACGATTACAGAGTTTCTTACAGGATACCGAAGGCTCTACTCCTAAAACATAAAAGGATAAATTATCAGAAATGTTAATTGTAATCCAATCTGTTTGCGAGGCTAGGCACTCTGTAAGAAACTTTGTCGTCGAGTTACATCAATACCGATACAATGAAGCAGGGAGTACCTAGCCTACCAAAACAGGCCACATAATTAATACATTTGAGACAAGAGAGAACTTAAAAAAAACTTTTAAAATAATATTACAATGAAAGAAAATATGCGAGTAAAAATCCGCATAAGAATGGTCTGTCTCGAATGCGTGTTAATAGCGTCCACTTATTTATATCTGTAATAACAACGATTAATTTACTAAAAATATTACTTGCGAGTACCAATGTTATCATAGCTTATTGAATTAGTGAATAAAAAATTAATTGTCAATGCAAAAATGATCATGAAATTTTTAAACAAATTCCATGAAACATACCGTTACGTATCAAGCATAAAACTTTAAAATGATATCATTTCTCAGGTATGATCTCTCAAGAAGTTTTCTATTCAAACCGACACAACAGGATGAAATGATTAATTATAACATAGATGCAATAAGCCTCATTGTAATGCATGAACTGTATGAGAAATAATGGTATTACGTCGCGCGAATAATCGGATTACATCGAAGAGAGACGTCATGAAAAGACCGCCTCGGCAGACGACCGCGATATCGACAATAATGTTGTTCGCGATAACGACGTGATTCCCTGTTACAATCCCTCGCTTTATCATGAACCACAATAGGATTAACGATCCCGTAGAAACAATTCGCGTCTTCCTCAGAGCTGAGCTCGCCGTGAAATTTGTTTAAGCGACTCCTTGGCTCGCCGAGGGCTTCTAAAGCCGTGGAATCCATCAACCAACCGTAAAGAGATCCCCGAATGCGACGATTTCCAACGTGATGGATTACGTCATCCCTGAATTTCTCATTAACTTCCCGCCGGCATTGCTCGCAAATGAAAGCCTTTTCCTTATCGGACGAAATACGGTACCAGTCGTTAAGATGAAATTTTCTCGGCGGAGGATCCGAACTCTTCGTGGGTGGGACGTGACGCGAAAAGTATTGATACGGCGTTTCTAGTAACGCTCGGTTCGACTCGCAAGAAAAAGCGCGCGACAATCTATCGTTGACGATGCTCGATCGAGGTTTACGCAAATACTTCCTCATGACATACCGGTTGCTATCGTTTTTACTTTTCTCCCGCAAGCTCACTTCCAGTTGCGCAATGCGATGCTCGAGTCGCGTGCGTTGTGCCTGTGCGCGATCCTGCTGATCCTCCAGCAGCTTCACCAGCTTTTCCAGTCGCATCACTTGCATCTGCTTGCCCTCTAGCGTGATGTACAATTCCTGGATTGCCTCCGTCTTTGCCGCAATCTGCTTGTTGATCTGAATATATGAAAATTTAAAAAACTATTAGAATACAATAGAATTAAATCGTAATCAAATCCCGAGAAATATGACCTACATAACGAAAATTATTCATCAAACCGAAAGATTTGAGATATATTATTATTTCAGTTCCCATAATTTGGATTAAGAATGGATTAAAAGGATTGAACTTATTATATGAGAAGATTAGAAAGAAGGCTATATAGGGAACGTCGAACATTACTTCATCGATATCTTCGTAGTTTTCGTTAGGATTTGCCGCGTTTGCCTGCTTCCCTTTAAGAAGGCTTAACAGCTCGTCCCGGACTTTGAGGAATTTGCTTTGTTCGCGCATCACTCGATCGCGCTGCTCCAATTCTAGTTGCTTCTGCGTCAGGGTGGTCTCTAGCTCTTGGTTCTGCTGAATAGCCTCGGCCAAGCTGTTCCGCAAGTCGCTAATCTGCTGCTGAAGCTCCATCGTGTCAAGTCCCTGGGCTTTGCCATTTTCTTTCAATCTCGCCTGAAGGCGATGCTGAATCTCGGCTAAGTCGTTCTCCAGCACCTCATTTCTCTCTTGCCTACGTAGTAGAAATTGAGAGTCTGAATTCGAAACTAACCAATTCTTCAAAAGCAAAAATCAAAACTGAATTAAACATATTTTTTTTATCCAGGAATGTGAAAGATCGTTGTAATGTAAGGAAATAACGATCTAGCTTCTATGCTAATACATAACGTAGAACAGAAAGAATCATTTTAATTATAAATATATTTTTAGAAACCATGTTTGACTGTATTTTAAATGGAAATATTTATTTTCCGTTGTATGTTCAGAGATATTTTAAATGGTATTCAAATATTTGATATACCAAATCTAACATGATATTGAAACTTACTCGAATCTAACAATCTTCTGAACCCGAGCGTGCTCCAGCATCAGGTTCTGAAGATCATTAGTCTTGGCTACGAGTTCGGCAGCCAGCCTATCCTTCGTCTCGTCTTCGTTATCATGGCTCTGTGGGCGAATGAAAAGGACGATTAATTGAAATTAATTTTGTAAACGACCTATCGGAGACGAAAATCACGGTCTAACGAGCGTGGGAAAGCGAATCGAACGGTTCTTAGTTCTTATACAAGCAGAGATTCCGAAAGTAATGCAAACTAACGGCCGCCTGATGCATCACAGCGACAATTTCTTGCTTCTCCCTCTCGAGTTGCTCGATCTTTTCCCTCTGTCTTTCTAGCTCGGCTCGGGCCGCCATGAGATCGTTATACAAGCAAACCTCGTTCTCCGTGTGATTATTATCTGAAGCTTTGACCAGAAAATATTATAATTGTGTCAATATTTCGTTCAAAATGTAAACGAGAAATTTTCTCGATACTTTGAAATTGCTAAGCTTACCTACCTGTGACAGCAATATTATTGCTCTTCTCACTCGCGAGATCGCAGAGCAGCTGGCTCTTCTCTTCAAGATGTTTACAACGTTCTTCCATTTCAATTAGAGCATTTTCGGCTTCTTGTCTACAATAAATGTAATGTTAGAATTAATTATAGTAAAATTTTTTTAGAAAAACTTCTCGCGAATTTCCCGAATTTATCTAATTTTTATTATCCATATACATGAAATATATTAGAATAATAATAATTATACAATTATTTTTCTTCAAAGATAACGTTGAAAGACAAAACTAATAGAAATTCTTAAAGGCGGCGAACCTATAACTCACCTTTTTTCTCTCTCTTCTACCAACTCTGCGTTCAAATTTCGTTCGTTCGTTTCAAATTTTACCGATAACTCTTTAATAGTAGCATTTGCTTCCGTTTCCTTGCGAACCATCTTTTCTTTGAGCTCCAGCATCCTAAGGAAGGCAACTTTAAGAAAATACAGAATAAAAGAGATCAATCTTACCTTTATTCAACCTTATTATCTAGCTAAAGATAATAAGTAATTTTTCAAAGCTTTTTAATAGAAATTTAATTTTATTTAAAAAAAAAGCTTTCCTTATTTATCCATCACTTAAAATTAACACTAGGCTTTTATACTTCTTAAAGGTCGAGATTAAAAGGGGCCGAGAATTCGGACGGAATTAAAAAGGACAACCGTGACTCGAAGCTGTCGCGCTGCTTCTCCATCTTCGCCATGAGGCCCTCGCTGCTCTTCATCGCCTTGTGGATATCCTTCATTCTCAGCTCCATTGCCTGGTCCTTTTGCTTCAACTGAGCCTCCAGTGACTTCTGCAGCTGTTGCGATTTTACCTCCTCGTTAGCCACGTGCCCCTCCAGCTCGCGAATCTTCGCCCGCGCCTTTTGCATCTGCAGCTCCATCGTTCTCGTCCTGTCCTTCCCTTGATTCGCCTTGTCACGCTCCGCCTTGAGCTCCTCCAGCGCGACGCTCAACTGCTCCTGCAGCAGGTCCCCGCGATCGACATTCGGCCTATCCTCCTTCACACGCCCGCGATAATTGTCGTATTCGCTACGCAGACTCGAGGATCTCATCGCGAATTCGGCGAGGAAGTCCTTCTGGACCGTCCTCAGATCGTCCAGCTGCGTTCTCATCTCCTCGTTGTCTCGCGTGAAGTTCGCCCGCTGCGCGTCCACCTCTGAATAATCCACCAGCACGTTGCCCACCTCGTCCTGTCGACTCGATTCTGTCAGCCAGGACTTGACGAGGGACGCGAACGACGAGCTCTTGTCCAGAGCGCGTTGGCAGATCTCTTGGGAGCGGTCGCAGAGATTCTGCAGCTGATCTTGCAACAGCGACACACCGATTATCACCGACTCGTCCATGCAGATTGGCTCTCGCTGCTCGGCGCAGTCGTGTCGCGAGCTTGTCTCGATCGGCGTCGGCGAGCTTTGCTTGGGGCACTCCACTTGAGGCGATCTTAGCTCCTCGATCTTGCCCGGATCCTTGCCGCCGGCCGCGATTATCTTCTCCCGCAGATTCGACATCTCGTCATACAGATCTTGCGCGATTTTCTGCAGACACGCAACGAAGGAGAATGTTACAAGAATGTTTACCTCTTTATACTTCATCCTACTTTTATTTTGAATACTGTTCAAGTTTCTAATTTGATACATTCAAAAAAAATTACCAAAAATTCTTCAACTACAATCGCATAATTACAATTATCTATGAGAACTCGTTTTTAGGGAGAATCAATGTCGATCGATAGTTACTTGCTTATCGACGAGCGTCTTTTTCAGATTCGTGTATCGCATTCTTTTTGAACTGTATTGTATTTCCAGCTGACGCTTCTCCGCGGGGACCGCGTTCGTCGGCTTTCTAGACGGCAACATACTCAGGGTCTTCGTGCTTGGTCGACGAGCGGAGTTGTTGGAGCTAATCCCGCTGGAAGTCTCCTCGTACGTTGGATGACTCATCGAGTCGCCCTGTAATCACGTTTGACAGGCAGTGATCAAGTATCGAAGACATGTCTCGTAAATTACAATAAATAATTGTTTTAAATTAAGATTTATTATTGTGAATATTGACGATCGTCGTCGCATTTGATTTGATGAGATGAGGGCATTAAATCTTCTTTTATTATACACAAAGCTATTTAGCGATGCATTGCGCCAAATAATTAACGTACTTGCATGCCATTTCGTCCGAAGTGAGTTGTTGGAATTCTACTCTTAATTTTATTTCCAGTACTCAACGTAGATTTCTTTGAAGTATTTGACGATGGACGATCTTCCGCTTTTTCTATAAAGATATGAGAATATAAATAAATATGCTTTTTGCTAAAACGATTACGAATTTTACGTAATACTACAGCAAATATGTTGTACAATTTGTTTTTTTTTAGTTATATTCTACAATTTTCTAAATGTCTTTTATTTTCTCGCTTTCTTCAACATATCGCGAAGATATATTTCTTTCCTTTTAAATACGAAAAGTGTAAAAAGATGCGCATAAAGAGAATATATGTATAAATGCAGAGAGAGAGTACCCCCGTATTAAACTTTGACAGTCAGCATTAATATTTGACATAACCTTCGTATAATATTTTAATATAATTATTTTAGAATAAAATTATTTTCAATTAGGACTATGATATTTAGTTTAAAGTAGATCTTTTCCAGTAGATTACTCAGTCATGATTATTTTAGTAAGATTATTTTTTTATCGGAAATAAAAGTAAAATAACAATAATATAGCGTTGATTATTCAGGATTTCTCTAAAATTCTTTCTGTCATATATAGTTACAAAGAGCATGCTGATGCACGAACGAGAAAAGCGTACGAATTCGCGGCAGTATCGCTGTCGACGTTAAATATTACATTTTTTTTCTATTTCACATCACAGCTTCGGAATGTGCAATGACAGAAATGCAAAGATCGCAGTTTCGTGTTTTTATATCAAGAGTTTTATGTATAACGCGAAACAACCTGAAGGATTTATCGCGACCGCTTCGCTCAGCATTATCCCGGCTCCTTTTCACGGTAATGTGGCGCGATCGGTGACAGTTGGATTTGCAAATGGATCTGTGAAACTTTCGAGAGGGATGACTTCGGAGGAGAGTTTTAATTTCGTAGTCTTGTTGGTTGGACAGAGCGAGATGACCGAGCGTTAACATTGGTTCATGTGAGACAGTCGACGACTTCGAGGTGTTTCGAAATCGCGATTGATTTTACATTGGACGTCTATGCGACGCTTTCGATGATAAAATATATATGGCTGCGGTAAAATCGATCAAAAATCTTTTTAAAGTGGTATGCATTGGTTTTAATAATTAAATTTGTAGAATATTCTGGGATTAATCTTTAAATTAAAGTGGAAAGAGATTTACGAAAATAAATAATTTTATACGAGTATATTTAAAAAATCTAAGTAATTAAAAAAAACTCGTAATGTTGGCGATAAAAACTATATAGAATAATTTAATTTTCTTTTTGTAATAAAAAATAAAAATTAAATATAAATAAGTAAAAAACGGTATGTTTCTCTAATTCGTTGGCATGAAATAAAATAAATATTTGTCGAAAAATAAAGCGATATTATGAACAATGAAAAATCGTGCTTTTTTTATGATGTACACGCGCTTTTATTAAGTTTCTCGGAGCGGGAAAACACATGTTCGTAGAAACGGTTGGATTATGATAGACATGCGGCGCCACTCTAATTGCCAAAAACCGAGACAAGAGTTTCGTCACGCTCCAACAAATAAAGCAATTCAGCAGTAAACAAGGTCAAGTCAATTAAGTAGTCGGCTTATTTTTAATTCGGCCTCTTCCACAATAGCACAGTGGATTAATTATTAATACACTTTTTAGAAACGTCACGAGTTCGCAATTTGTTCCATAATATGATGCAATTGACAACTTTGTACTTTGTACGTTTTGGACTAGCGGCAAAGTTATCAAACACGTTGGAAAAATTATTGAAAAAAGACTGAGCGCTCCGAGAGATGAAAATCGGGAAAAAATAAACTGTTGCTTTTCGCTTTAACTTTTTAGGTATGTTGCAGCTCGAACGAGAACGGTTGAAATCGTTGACAGCTAACAGATACAAGAAACCGATAGGAATTACGAACAAATTTATATTACGAGATACTTTACTTACTGAACATTGCGAAACCATACTTCCACAAACAATCCTCCGTTTTCTTTCTCTCGCTGGAAGGAAATTTACGAGAATGTCTGAAATTGAAAATTTCAGAATTATGATTGCAAACATCACATAGCCGCTGTAAAGTTAATTTATATCACTGCGTATCCACGGTAGTAATAAGCGCAACAGCCTCTCTCTTCTCCTTTTCCTGAATTTATCTGGGCGTCCCGCATTGTAAATTTGTACAATAACATATATACACCTATGCATTTGTTTATCACATCTATGCAGATGCTTTTAAGGTAAACCATTTTTAAGTAATCTCTTGATTCTAGACAAACTTTTTCGCAAATTGTCGTCAATCATTAATTGAACTTCGATAGATTTTGAATAATTAATTAGAGAATATCGTTATATATCATATAGAATTTCAATTCTTTACTAAAAAAGGAATATATTGTTTTTTATTGTATATGAGAATTGATAAGAGAATGAAATTTGTTTCTTTACTGTTACAATGACATGATTTTTATTAAAGCTATAAAAGAGTTTGGGAAGGGCGTGTAAGAATATGTTGAGTGAAGTCTATTATAATACAGTCTTTAATCTCAGAAATATCCTAAGTCGTTACATTCTAAGTCGTACCGCTCGCAAAATATTCTAAGTCCCGAAATAGTCAGTTCACGCGGATACGTCTTCACTCTAGCGAGTCGCCGTGTCGAATCTCCGTCTCTCTGTTCCCGGGCTCTCGCGATCGTTTTTCCCCTCTCCGGACTTCGTGTCCTTCGAGGGGTCGCTCGTCACATTTCGGTCGATTTGTGTTGTTAATTATTGTTTGAGTCATGCCTGTAACCTTCTCGCTTATCGTTACCTATGTTTATATTTTCCCTATCTAACGTCTTTCCCTATTTTTCGACCTCGCTATTATTACTTATTTTCGATTCGAGCTGTTGCGGCGGCCAGGTATATAGCGATATAACCGCCACAAGAAAATACAAAAAATAAAATTGATTGTTACATTAATAGTCATACATTTCACACAATCAGTCACTCGATCAGTCATGCCTATCGATGATAAGTTATATGTTAATCACGCGACGTATGTTCTGAAAACAAAACATACTGTAAAAAAAATTTTTTTTTTTTTTAATTCATGCTAGATATGATATATATTTGTATATTAAGGAAAGATAATTATAACGTAAAAAAAGAATTTCTACATTACAAACCCATGTCAGTTAAATGTTAAAGAAATATTAGTTTGTACAACTATATTATTATACAAATTTTCATCATATATATATATATATATATATATTTTTTTTAATATAATATATATATATAAATTATAATTATACAAATTAAAATTGTATAATAATATATTGGTATCGGCCATTGTTGGTATCGGCCTTGGTGGTGAAGTCTGCAATAAATTATATAATTATTAAATTTGTGGAATGATAAATGTTATAGATTTTTTTTTTTAATGCATACTTACTCGTTACCCCACTGTGGATGCACTTTCCTAATATGTTTTGACAGGGTTTCAGCATCTACTTGATGAATTAAATCAAACATATGTCCACAAATAATGCACGTAGCATTATTTTCTGTGATCGTAACACGATCGAAATGTGTAAGGAACACAAACTCGCATTCTTTCGTAACTTATTCCGTGTCCATAACGTAAATGTTTTTTTAAAGTAATCAACATTTGTTTGTCATTGCAATGGACTTCTTTTCCACAATTACATATGGCAAAATTGTTACACACGTCGGTGAAATAGTCCCACAAATTTACCATATCCATATCGGCATCCATATCCATATCCATCTGCAATTTATTGTTAGATTCAGTAAAGATTATTTTAATTTATAAATTCGATACTTCCAAAACAGTATAATTTAGAAGAACCACAGGTATGATTTAGGCGACCGGTTGTCTAAATCGTACCTTTTGCAGCATGTTACAAATTGACTTATAACAAATTAATTTGTTATTGTTAAAAGATTAAACATGTAATAATAGATGCCTGAAGCATCAGCTATAATTTCTAATTTTTATTCGCGTCCTAATCAGCAAATGAAAAATATAATAAAAAATAACTTAAGTAGTACGCACGCGGCAACTTTCCTTTATATATTTTTATTTTATTTCTATCTTTTCTATGGCCAGATCTTTTTGTAATAATGTATTTTTCGTTACTCACTTTTTCCTGCTCCTACTTTTCTTTCTCTTCTTTCTTTTTTAATTTAAGCTGAAAAACTCGTTTTTCTCTCAAATTCGTTAACACTCGTCTTTTAATCTTTTATGGAAACTATTTCGTTCGTGTCACTGTCGATCGTGTCACTTTTCGATCTCAACTGCCAGAAATTGCTTTGTTTGCCACAAGCAGTGTCCTTGTTACAAGTAAATACATATGAAAACATTGAACTCGAATATTTACATCTCGGAATTAGATGCTCTTTTCGGGCCGATTCTCAAGACGACACTTCCTATCCCCCCACTACCGCTCGCGGCTCGCCGGCCGAGCTGGCCGATCGCGCGCGTGACGCTGTATCTCAGGAGCGTCCCTATGTAGAAATACGTTGGGATCGTACCTTCCACCAAATCATCTCTAATCTGTTAGAGATATTACATTAAATTTTAAAATTTTAATGGCACAAAAAGATAACGAAATAAACATATATTCGCTATATAAGATTCAGCAAGCGATCACTGTGTACAACAAAATTAGTATAAGACCCATAATTATAACACGACCGATTTAAACAATCAAAATAATTCTAAAGTGTTGTGTGCCCTGAGATCATCGCGAGGAGAAAATCTACTCGGAGCGCGTCGCGCGCCGCGCACGCTCGGCTGCCTGAAGTAGTAACGGTCCAGTAGTCAGACGGCTGTCAGTCAGCCGGAGGACCGCGGCGGTGGCGGACGTGTCACTGGTGTGTTTCCCTACCGCCCGTTGGAGAACGCACGTGACTACCGCGAAGGACAGAAGAGAGTTTTACGTACTTTGTGCCTCGCGAACGACATTATGGTGAGTAGCCACTTTCTCGAAATATCCTCGATTGTACCCATAACGAGAGAATCTTTGAAAAAAATACAATCTTATGTCGCGTAAAGCGTTCTTTCTAAAAGTGCCGTCTCGTATAAGGGGAGAAAAAGAAAATGAAAAAGAGAAAGAAATGCACAAAATATATAGGTATATATAGTACAAGATATGTTTAATGCAAAACACAAACGCATTCGCTTAATGAATGACAGGTCACGCTGCTGGATTTATTTCGAATCAGCCTTTGTGTACTTTCTGGGTGTAATTGCATGTTGCGTGCATTCCCTTGCGAGAAGAATCGCCTTTGTTCTTTGTCGATGGCGAAATAAGCTCAGTCGCCTGTATAGCTTTTACCGAATAAAACTCGAATAACACGTATTTGCTTGTAGCGAAAGAGATGCCAGAGACAAAGACCAGCATAGTGCAATGCATACACATTTGCGAAAAAAAATGAGAGGTCATAAAAGAGGTTTATTTTACAACAAGACGTTGTGTCGCGCGCGCGAATGTATCGCTCAGAAGGCTTAAGAGCGAAAAGCTACCGTAACTTAATTACCATACCTTTGTGATAAACGTTTAATGATAACGTGTAATTGCGCGTCCCGATTGAAATATTCGTTGGCTTCTGCTCGATCGGTGGTTCGTCGGCTAGTCAAGCGTGCAGAGTGCTTTCAGTGCTTCCCTTATGCACGACTAGGCACATTATTCGAACGTATTGCCAGGCTGCTCGTAGGTCGTAGGAACAGATAAGGACAGCGGGAAGCGGAAAAGGGGGCTGCGGGGGACGCGCAGAGCTTGCGTCCGCGGCGCAACATGGATAAGTTCGGATAAAAAGCGATCGAACCGCCCGCGCCGTGATTTCTGTGCCAGCGGCGGCTGCACAAGTGCATTTTCGTTTCTTACATGAGCGCCGCCGGGAATACATGTCACGTCGAACCTTTCTTTGCAAGCCGGCGAGCCGAAAAGTTACAATTTCGGTGAATCGCCGGAAAGTATTGAGAGATTATTCGGTCGACGTGTATTTTCAATCGCTATTAAAGAGAAAATAATGAGATAGAATGTTGTTCGAGTCCTTCTGACTTCCGAGTTCTATAGATTACGCCAAACTCCGAAGAGATTGAGAAATTTAGTCGAGCGTTTGTCAAGATACTTTCATATATTAATGACAGGCACATTAAACATTCAAAATTTTAACATAAAAATATAATTAATCAATGTGTGAAAATGTTCGAATAATGACGATCGATTCGCTAAAATACGCTAAAATACGCTAAAATATTTGACGAGCGTTAACGGAAAGCAACAGTTCGAATCGATATCACGGTAATTTAGTAACTATTCAACCGTTTTGTTCTGACAGCCGCTAATGAAATGATTGTTCAACGAGCAGGGCGTGCTCTCTCATCTCTTCTACTCTACTCTAAAATTACTATATTTGTTTAGTCAATACCGAGAGTTCGTGTCGGCTCGGTCGCTCAACGATTCGCAACAAACATTTCTATGAGACGAAACAGGACCAATGACGGCATTTATCAGCCGCGATTATTTCAAGTGGAAAATCAATGTTTTATCCGGAAGCGCTTGCCGAACAGCTGAATACCCTACATTTTTTATAGATGCTTTACACGCTCAATGCCGGTGATGCAGATTTGACAAAAAAAAAAAACGTCAGCTTTTATCATACCGTTCAGAGGGAGAGAGCAGTTTTTACACTCTTCCGCGTGAAAAGCAAACAGCTGGACGAGACAGGCATTTATAAAAGTATTTCGTTAATGTGTGCATTTATATTGACTCTTTTTGAAGCACACACAAAAATACCGAAATACCAAAAATATAAAAAAAATTTGATGGATTTGAATTTTTTTTTAAATTTACTAAAACTTTGGTGGAATCAATCGACTGTTTGACTTCAATTACACGATGTTAAGTGGAATGGAAAAAAAATACTATTTTATACGAAGTAAAGAAATCAACAAAAAATGAGAGATCTCTCCGATGTTGTTTTACAAGGAACACTTCACATAATTAGTTAGATATTAATTTTTTATTACACTAAAAAAATATGTGCTTTAAAGGGTTAATTTACGTCTAAAAAGTATGCTTTCATGAAGCATGATGTATAACGGTCGCATATTGCAAGGAAGAATATCCTGTCAAGCGGTAATGTCAAGAACGCAATTTCCTTCGGAAAGCATTCGGTAAAGTAGACTGTGTTTTACAACGATATAAAATCTCCGGATCGCGATTTCCCGTGCAAGATACATTTAGGTAAATAAAAGAAAGGAGGAGACGGAGACAGCGAGGAGGCAAGAAATGCTGCCGACGACGACGGGATATAACGTGCGTCTCGTGACTTCGGGTTATTTCAGTGAAAATTATTACGGATATCGCGGTGACTGCGCCGTTAAATATCAAGTCGTCTATTTGACGAAGATATGAATACGTCTCTCTACCTTCTCTAAGCGCTCCATTCCGTGGCTTTGATCGTCGTAATATCGCCGATGAGGTCCTCATCCCGTTCATCGCGCGTCCCTCGTTTTTCTTCCAAAGTCCCAGACCGACATATTGACGGCACTGGCGGGCAATCTGTCGTCCGGAGTTACTCTTGATGTGAGTCCCTCCAAATCCCACCACCGCCCTTCGTTCCCGTAATCCCGACGTACGACTTAGCCGTTTATTCATCCGGAGTAACCTCATTTAGTTTGATAACGACCTCGGGATCGAAACTCGAATATTAATAATACTGCATAAAATCTCGGTAGAAGCTAAACCTTTGTGCACGTGTAAATGACAGTACAAAACAAATTGTGCCAGAAATACAGTAAGTGGCTCCTTGGAATTGGACGTTTAATTAATTGTGCTGTATTAAATTATCTATAGAAAGGCTTTTCATCGAGTTAGAATGGTGATTTATTATCCATGTTGATTATTACGCGAATTAACAAACGTGAAGTAACAATGTCATAAATTAACAATGGGAAATATTAATTTATTATTCTCACTTAAAATTCTAGTTATATTGGCTGCGAAATTCTGTGATACGCCATTCGCAGATAAAGGGCTTAACAGCTTAGCAGGAATGGAATTAATTAATAATCGCGCACGTTCGTCAATACAGCAAATAAACGTAGTTTAAATATAATTATTATTCCGTTTAATTAGGTTTCCAATCGTGGATAATATAACCCTCTTAATGCGTTTTGTAAATAAATGAAATGCAATAGCTTTACTATGTTAATGAATCTTATATAGTTATTGAAATTTGTTGATAGATGCGATTATTTAATAATTCTCAGAACATTGTCAAAGTATAATGATTGTTAATTATATAAAAAATTTTATCATTTTACTTGCTCGGAGAGTTCTATTACCTCGCATTATAATGACCATGAGAATAAAACGAAATTACTGAAAATACATACCTAGTGATACATAGAGTTATTGTGTCTTATTGCATAGAAAATATTGTACAAAATTCTAAAAGCATAAATTTGTAGATTTACGAATTTATTTCAGAATATAATGCTTCTAGAATTTTGTACAATCTTCTCTACAATATTTTCTATGCGATAAGACACAATAACTTTATATATCACTATGTATTTTCAGTAATTCCGTAGTTTTATTCTCATGGCCGTTTGAATCTCTTGCAAACAAATTGCATACACACAACAATATAATTTCGGCAATGTAAGCGCCGACTGCAGGAAAACCGTAACTGCGATCGAGTCTCTTGGTAGATATTGTTTGAGTTCCTGTTGGTCTTTCGCGACCGAGGGAACGAACATGGCAGAACGCCAGACCGAGTGAAATGCCATGCCCTATATACACCGGCTTGGCGCAATATATTTAGGCGCTTGAGATTTATGGTTAACCAGCTTATTAGAGGCCAGTGATGTTCGTGGATCAACGTGTCGCATGGCGTACAAGCCACCGTATTTTCCGTCTCGCATATCGTGTACGATTGTGTGGACCGCATTATCGTCAGACGCGCCGTTCAACAGCGTGCCTCAATTTTTGCCCGTTAAACGGCAATGACTGTGGAACTTTGCGTAATTCATACGTTTCAATCATTCCAGGCCATGATGCAATGCATAATTAGCTATTTACTGTTTTCGCGTTCCCATCGGAAAATATTGAAGTCAATTTATATTTTTTAATTACATTAATGAGTGCGCTCGTATTTATTTGTAATTAACGGAGCAAATGTGATACGCGCGAGTGTCTCTTCCTCTTTATTTGCTATAATTATTTTATTAAGGAAGAAGATAAAAATTGTATTTGTTTTTATATTATTTTATTTTACATATATTATAATATTATTATATTTTATTTTATATTTTTATATTAATTACATATAATTATTCTTCAAAATTAGGTAGTTAGGTATGTAAATTGTAACTTACACAATTTTATTATATTTTGCTAACATTATTTATATAATTAATATACTTTAAATTCGGTATTTTGATTTAATATCGTTTTCACTTTAACATAAATATTCTATTTATAAATATTCTGTTCCGAATTAAGAATGAGAAAGATCGACTTCAAGAGCTACTCAAAAAGGCACGCTTAAACTGCTTCATCGACACTTCACACTTCACCTTTACCACTTTGGATGTTTCGGATGTGTGCTCGTTCAATGAACCGGGAAAAGCGCAAACGACTCTAACGTACCCGTTTCGGCGCCAAGATTCTGCCAAGATCGCCGAGTGACTCAGTGTCGATGCATTTTCAGTCACGCTTTGTTACACGTGATTACTGCGAGGGCAATTGTCTCACGTGTTGGCATCGTTCTAGCCCGCGGTTACTCACGTGCACCCACGTTCGCAAATCCTCGTAGTCGCAATGCTTTGCCGTTGCAGTTAGAATAAACGAGTTAGTTCGTACAGATTCAAGATACGAATGATCAGTTTTTCTGCATCTTTCAAACTTTTAGCTCCTCTTTCGAATAACTCTCTTCTTTAGATATGTACAGAAATTAATTTTATTTTAGCTAGCAATTACCTCCGTTTATTTTAATACTTTAGTGCTTCAGAATCGATTTTTAAAAAAGAAAGTCTCACCTGTCGCGATACGTCTTCAATCATCTTGACAGTAGCATAAGCTTAGCTCGTAATTAAATCGCCAAACGTTAAATTCGCACGCCACGCGTCGGAACGTCGGAATATTTTTGCTTAAATTTTAATTGAAACGCATAATAGGGGAATAAACGAAGAACGTGAGGACGCGCGACGTACCTTCAAACGTGAGAGGGATCAAGAATCACCGCGGTTGTTCTCACGAAACCAATTTACATTTTAATTCTGCTTATTCCCAGTCGTTTCACGTTTTGAATCTTTGATGTAAATTGTAACGTAAACTCCGCGCATATTCAATAAGCGCCATAGCATTATCACAACGCGAACGTTAAAAGAGAATAGTGATAATTCATCAAATTCTTGGCGATACTCGATAGTACTTGAACGTGAATATGCTCTTTCAATCATCCAAACTGTTTGGATTTGTGTGTCATCGATTTAACGTAAAAACGTTTGATTTTATATAATCTGTAATGTGTCACGCTCGAATTGCTGCCGATTTGTCGAACGAGAGAATGAAATATTGTTACGTTATTTTCTCTGTTTGCAGGCGATGTATAATACTAGGATTCTGTACCATGGCATTTTGTTGCTGCTCGCAACAGCAACCACTACGGATTCGACAAAATGCTCCCGGATCATAGAAGGCACCACCGAGCCGCGCTCCAATGCCTTGGGCAAATATCACTTTTTCATGACGCTTTTCAACAGGACCGACATTGCGTACGCTTACATGCCGAACACCCGATACAGCGGTAAGAACGTAGTCGCAAGGGGATTCGAAACGTTGATATAATTTCGTAATTCTATATCATCCATATTACAGAAATCAAAAGATAAACCCAATTGACCCAGCTTTATTGTCATGTACATATGTGTAATGTGAGGAAAGAGAGAAGATTGCATTTTTGGCGTTGCTTCATAAATTATACGGCTTATTATACTGCACTATTTAGATGTATGAATTGAGGAAATGGTATCCGACTGAGTTAGTCGAAGTTGTCGTAGTCATGAGAAATAGCGACTGCTTTTAGACCTTCGTGTGACATTTGAATGCTTTTAAACTTTAAATAAGTTCTGCAACGTGAGGAAAAGGATAAAGTACAGATCTCTCTTTGACATTTATAAGTCGTGCCTGGATATCTTTTGAAAATTACGTTTGCATAAATATGTCGCACGTCACGTGTACATTTAAACGTAATAATTGTATCTCTCCGTTACATAATTTAAAGTATAAAATTATAAATCTAGGAAAACTGACATAATTAGTAATTAAATAAAATCAAATAAAATTATATCATAAAATCATTATTTAAATCGAATAAAATCATAGAAATTTAGCTTTTTAGCTAAAGTTTAATTAAAATTTCGTTAAAATGTGTGAACACACATTTAAGATCCGTCATAGTACAATATTTTTTAAACACAATATTTATTTTATGATATTCCCGCGATTTTCAAATATCAGACTTAATCCGACGGGATGTTCTGCCGTGGAGGTCACCGGTGGTGTGTCCGCTGCAATATTCGATGCTAGCAGAATTTTGATGTTCTATAAGCCTTCTATATGGATACGTTTGCTGATACGGAATTCCAAGGCTCTTAAAATGTCAGATATTGCTTCGCTTTGTCAATATTCTTTGGCTTTACAACATTGGTGAAATAGTGAAGCGCGTTATGCGGTAAGGAAAAGGCAAATAAGCCGGAAAACTTGCAACCGCTTGCGAAGGAAATCAAGAAATAGGATACGTTTATTTACCGAGTAAAATGTGCGGACGATATTTGCAATTATGTGAATTGTATCTATCGAAATCATCGGACAATAATAATGAAATAGAAAATATTAAGCTAATAAAACGAAATCAACCAATTTATGAATCTTAATACAATAAGAGCAAATTCGTACGAAAAATTTAATTCCAAATAAGTTTCTCGATTAATTAGTCCGTGAAAGAAGAGAGCGAGAGAAAAAATTCAAAAAATTTTTTTTTTCGATAAAATAAAGACTTCGGTTTGAAAGAGAGAGGTTCAGTAAATTCCGCCGTTAACACCGTCGTTCACACTGACGTCGAAGAATTGAAACGCACGGTGAGGTCATCGGCGCGCGTATCAATTACCGGCATTTTGATGGCTGTCTGAAATACGACGCGCTCGCGCACGTTGATTTCCCGGTGGCTCTACGCCTTTAGCAGTAATTGCGGCAATTATCGAAGGAGAGACCGTAGATCTTTCGGACGCCGCGGCTTTCTGCGCGTCGCAAACGGCGCTCTTCCGGCCGGCGGAAACCGCGCTTTGGATCGAAAGGTAGGGCGGAGATTCGGGAAGCTGCGACGGAAGATCGAAAAGGTCATTTCGCCTTGAAAGTCGGGATAAATGCCGGGCGCGCGCGCGACCCACGATGAACTTTGACCGATTAGCTTTGTGACGGTTAGCTTTCACGCGCAGCTACAGTTTTATAATCGGCCCTCGTTGAGAAGCTGTGCGAATACTGCGAATTACATGAAGATAACCCGTCGCTTTAAAACTCTTTTAACGACATATTTTTTGGTGGATTTGACGTAAATTCTTTTTTAAAAATTCGACTAGTATTTACATAAATTGAACATTTTAACAGTTAAATCTGCAATTAATTTCTTGTTGGGTATAATTGTTATCGATTTACATGTCGTTTAGTTTAATATACAATCTGTTATATATGTCATATATATAAATCATATAAATGAAACATGTTTTTTCCACTGATGTATTAATATTGAAATCATTATTATTTATGACAGTTAGCACTCAGTATTGTCTAAAACGCGACGATTATAGTTATAAATTAGTTGGAATTAATATTATCATTAATTCCAACTAATTTATGACTCTAATTCTACGAAAAACTACTTTTTACTTGCTTACGTTGCCCGAGATGCCGACACATTTATCAAGCTCTCGACTGCACAGCTATCGTTACAGCTTTTTCGCATCTTTTATATCGAGTATCATTAACTCGCGCGACATGATATCGTTAGCTGGATCGATGACCGTAGTCCCAGGCCTCTCTCCTGCCTCGATACGCCGGGGTAGATACCCCTGCTATGACCCTCTCATACCCTTAGCGAGAAATTCTTTCGACTAAAACCGTCCAATCAGAATTTTACGGCGAAACAGCAGATTTATGTCGCGTCGATAGGGACGATTCGCAAGTAGGTATCCCCCGTAAGGCATAATTTAGCATATAACAAACTTAATGAGCCATTTCTTTTAATTAATCAAATCCTGTTTTCGTTACTTGCATGTTATTCTGATATAAACTATTTCTTGAATAATTACGGAGTTTGAACTTTGTTTTCGCGTATCTATTCACGTTGAAACTTACAAAAGCGTATAAATTTACAATGTAATACAAGAAACAAGACCGGCCAGTTTAGCAGTTATAATCGCTTTTATTATAATCTTAACATTACACGAACACTTGTTCGCCACTTTATACGCGATGCCCTAGAATTTAAACCGGTTCTGCGCGTTTTGAGATACAAATTCCGATGCCTCCTACGGAAACATCTCTATGTCCAGTCGGCGATCTGGCTCAATAAAGTTTGCTCTCGCTCTCTTCTTCTCTTTCTCTTTTTCCGTCTCTTCCTCTCGCGAAACTTAGCTCCGGCGCCTGCGGACGTTCATACACTAACGCATGCAAATCTCTCGTGCCCGGTGAATTAATGCGTTATGTAACGCTGGCGGGACGCCAGGTGCGAGACACTGCGAGCCGCATCGCGTCGCGCTTGCAGGTTTAACGCGAGCGGATTCAATGGCCCCGACCTGATAAAATTCTATTAAATTGCGCCGGCCGGAGAGGAAGTCTACGCGTCGGTCGCACTCGCCTCGGGGTTAAATCCCGAAGAAGAGGACGCCAGCTTCCCGAGGAAGCTCGGGAAAATTATTGCGCCGTTACTGCAATGGAGAGTCGCGAAACAATGCGGTGAGGGGTAGTAAAGGGCTGGCACAATCAACGTTATATGCGATAGGTGTTAATCGCGAGCAGATCTTCCCTCTTTGTCTGTAGACTGATCGAAGTTGTCGGATGTTCTTATTGAGTCTTGGCTAATTTGGAATTTTTCCTCCAAGGAAAATGTTGAGACGTATTTAAGTTTTGAAAATTGACGATTAAAGGCTGGGCTTTGCTGTTAAATTCGTAGTTTTAAATTATATTCAATTTGAATCATTTTTAACCATTCCTATAAGTCACCACTGCTCCTACTCAATATGTCGTTAATTTAGCTAAAACAATGTTAATTTAATTAAACTAATGAAAGTTATACTGTTTTGTGTTGAAATGATAAATTTCGACACACATATAATTAAAAATGTTATTTAACTCAAGGTATTGGTTTAAATTTCATCCTTTAATATTTAACAGTGTTGTACGATTAATCAAAATAATTCTAAGATGTGACCGTTGTGAAATCAGATTATCCTTGTGGTTATAGTTATCGTCTAGAAAGTGTCAACGAATCATTAAGAGTTAATGGAAGCTATCGGTGCAAGTGACGCCGAGAATTGCTTGCAGCGTTAATTAACTTTAAAGCACTACAAACAGCTATAAATTTTTATTTTCTTTCGGGTTTTATTAAAAGCCGTGGAGCTGCACCATCCCGGAAAATAACGGCGACTCGCTAATTAGGGGTAGTTGATTGCATGAACACAGTGGCTAATGTTACACGGCTTAATCGTGTTATTAACGTCGACTAATGTTCTCCCCGATTAACTGAATTTTATTTTAAAAGCTCGATAGATTTCAAGCCACGCGGTACACGTAAATCATCCGCGTAATAGAGTGCCTCATTATTCACAAACGTTCCGACTTTTCTCTTTAAAGCAAGTCGAGAAGTCGTACAAGTGGTAGTAGGTATAATGCAGCGTGTGGTCAGACATTCTACAACTTTAATGTTTCTAGAAGCACGAAAACGGCTACATTTTTTTCCACTGGCTTCAGCCGGATGAACGGATTTAGAGGAAAGTAGCTTCGCGGAGAGCTCCTTCTCTTTCACTTCATCGCGATCTCGAATTTGCACAAATTAGCGCTATCGTTTCTCGACGCTGTGATTATTCGCGAGAGGGGAGCACATCCGAGCTGCTCGCTCCGCCGAACTCTGCACCGCCAACCGCCGCCGGAAGTTAATACCGTGGTCGTCGTCTCGCATCACGATTATATTCGAGGAATTTCAGACACGCGTCGAGAGAGAGGAAGAGAGAAAGAGAGAAATGGAGATATTCTACGTATGCGATACTGTAAAGCGCGAACGCACCCGTTCATTACTATACGAGATTGATTAATAATTCATCCTGTCGCGGCGTCGCTGTTGTGCTAACGTTGAGAGAACGTTACGCGCGCAGACAGACCCTATTGTTCGGCTTTACGTGTAATCCGCTTTGTCGTGAATGAAAACTCGAGCTTTCGAACGAACGAATTCAGCGCTGAACTTCGACAGACCCCGGTTCAGAGACGGAGACCGGACACGCGTGATGCAAAACGCCGATCGGGTTTAAACGGATTCTCGTTCGGCTTTAGGTCGGGTTCGATCATCCGATAAAAGTTTCGAGCAACTGGAAAACTGTCGAATACCATCTATCTCTCTGAAAGCGGAAGCGGAGGGAAGTGAATATCGAAATATAAATTTTAGCGTGCTTGCATCGCGATCAGAAAAACAAGCTTCTCTTGCATCTTACAGAACGAAGCAAGTCCGAATGAAATTTCGAGATGCGATTCAAGAGT